AATAATAATCATTTTGTTTTGGTTTGTTAAAAGGGGTCTGTGGGGCTAAAATGGTTGAGAAATGCTGGTATTTCTTTGTGGAAAAGAAGCACACTTAATTTGCAATAAAGTTACAATTCAAACTTCAAATCTTAAATGTAGATTTTTAAAACTGTACTTGCAAATAACATAATTTTAATGAAATAAAAGATCACTTATATGTAAGATAGTATACTTTAAGAGTAAGTGCACTTTGTAATAATGTCAAATTAAACATTTATGTTTATGTTAATATATATATATATATATACTAAACTGCAAACACTACATGTGGTTACATATAAAGATGTACTTAAGTCCTACTTAGGTTGGTCAAAAAAAAAACTAATTGCATTTAATATAAATTTAAGCTATAATAGATTTACAATTGCAAATAACATACAATTACGTGTCCAAAAACATTACATTCAGTTTGCACTGAAGTATATTCTTTTAAAGTGTATTATTTTTGAGTAATATGTACTCTTTTTAAAAGTATGCTGAAGTTTACCTCTTTTTTTAAAGGGTACACACTACTATCCTCTCCGTGATTTAATTAAAGTCCTTGCCTCTGTAACGGAGGCCAGCGAGTAGGTGCTGTGCAAGGTAAACCTCACTCCCCTGATCTCGAGAGACGCACTAGCGACTGACGCTAGTGGCTGCAGTCTTTAGCCTCCTTGTTAGTGCGTCCGCCTCCCATGCCGGAGACCCGGGTTCAAGACCCACTCGGAACGAGAACGAGGTGTGGCGGTGAGGACCTGGGTGAGAGGGGTTACATTGGTGCCGTGACCCGGATGGGAGTGAGGGTTATGCCGAGTTCACACTGCACGGTCTTCAAACTCGTCGGATCGCCGTTGTTTTCACACTGCGTGACTATCTGGGGTAGCATTCAGTCGCTTCTGTGTTCACATTGCACGATGGATCGGCGACAGGGGGTTTCACACTGGTGCCGTGACCCGGATGGGAGTCGGGATTAGGGGGGTGAGTGTAACGGAGGCCAGCGAGTAGGTACTGTGCAGGTAAACCTCACTCCCCTGATCTCGAGAGATGCACTAGCGACTGACGCTAGTGGCTGCAGTGTTTAGCCTCCTTGTTAGTGCGTCCGCCTCCCACGCCAGAGACCCATTCGGAACAAGAACGAGGTGTGGCGGTGAGGACCCAGGAGAGAGGGGTTACACCTCCAAGAGAGTTATGATGGAACGATCTCCCTTATGTGTCTGATCTTAACATCCTGACCACTGAGAGAGGATCTAATTGAATTACCCAAACGGAAGTGGTATTTGGATGTGCTTGCTCTCGGAGTAAATGAGCGGGCCTCATTATTTCTCGAGAGGATCGTCTTTGTGCTGCTCTTGCGCAAAGGTACATGTCCTGAGTACGCACTTCACTGACTCCATCCATGCACACTTCCGGTCCTCTCGCTATCAACACCAAACTGACAAAAGATAATGAACTTGAATTACTGAGGTGTAAAGATTTGAGATAAACTGGATGTACCCTAAGAATAATACTCATGGACTATAGGCTATTATATTATCTCAAAAATGCATACTTGTTGAAATCAGCACATTAGAATGCTTTTAGTAGAATCGTGTGACACTGAAGACTGTAGCTATTATCGAATTATATTTGAAAATATATTCAAATTAAAAAAGCTACTGTTTTAAATTATAATAATATTTTACATTATGCATATACAGAGTAGATTACTTAGAAATTGTAGTCCGTAACTGAATTCAAATGACATGACAAAAATTGTAGTCAGTAACGTAATCCATTACATTACACATTTTAGGTAATGTAATGAGGCTAATTTTTTTTATTACTTTTAGATTACTTGTGAGTCGTTTATCACATTGATTTAAATAGGATCATCTTGTACCATATTGATATAAAAATACAAAGAGTAAGTAAATATATTCCAGTGCATTAAACATTACGTTATACACGTCAAGGTTTCCCAAACTGGGGTTCGTAAAAGAACTGCAGGGGGGTTGTCAGTTTATTGAAAAGCTAATAATTAATTAAATCCTAAAAAATGTCAAATTAAAATAAGTAATTTTAAAATAACATCATGTTTACCTGCATGTCAGGTGACCATTAACCAACAGAGAACCGTGAACATTCAAATGTGATAGTTAATTATTAAAATATTTATTTTAAAATCTCAGGGTACTTCATATAAACATATTAGGTGAAAGATGGCCAGAATGTACTTCTTTACATGCAAATAAGAATAATGTCAATTTGTGAATTTTAAAATTGTGCATCCTTTGTGTAAATGTCCACAAAACTGGAAGACTTTCTGAATGTGTATACGTGGCAGGCTATTTTAAAAAGGAACATTTAAAAGATAAAAAGAGGAATTAGGGAGAATCAATAAATTATGGATAATTTATTACCATTGTGTGAATAACATGTAATCATGTAATCAATAAAAAAAAGTGACTGTAGTCTGATTACGAGTATTTTAAAATGTAATTTAATCTAATTACAGGTACTTAATTTTTGGAATCTGATTACATAATCCAGGTTACATGTAATCAGCTACTACCCAGCTCTGAGCATATATTATATTATAATATACTCATATTAATGCAAATTATGCACAATAATGCATAATAAATCACATTCATTTTTGAAGTTGGTAGGCTGATGATGTGATGATATGTTGTTGTTGTTTTTTACTATTGTTTATTTCTCCAGTATTTTATTTAGATTTTTTTTTTTAATTCTTAATATTAAATACTGATACTTGTAGTTTTGAGGGGAAAAAAATTTAAACACAGCTTGTATATACACTGTTTCACGTAGAGTTACTCCAGAGATCAAGCCTGTGTGGATAATAAATGACATGCGATGATGATGTTGGTAGGGTGTTGTTGTGGTCCAGGGTGGCTGTGGGGGAAGGGACAGAGTTGAATGGCCCGACGGGCCTCCCACCCCTCGTACTCACTAGAGATTGACAAAAGTGTGGGAGTTGCTGGGTGTTGTAGGTCTATTGTTGGGCTAATGCGTGCATTTATTAAAACTGACCTCAGGTTTGCGAAAACAAACATATTTACTTGAGTGTCAGAGTATATTGACAGAGCTCGCCTTAATCTCCAGTATTTTATTTAGATTTTTTTTTTTTTATTCTTAATATTAAATACTGATACTTGTAGTTTTGAGGAAAAAAAAATTTAAACACAGCTTGTATATACATTGTTTCACGTAGAGTTACTCCAGAGATCAAGCCTGTGTGGAAATAAATGACATGCGATGATGATGTTGGTAGGGTCTTGTTGTGGTCCAGGGTGGCTGTGGGGGAAGGGACAGAGTTGAATGGCCCGACGGGCCTCCCACCCCTCGTACTCACTAGAGATTGACAAAAGTGTGGGAGTTGCTGGGTGTTGTAGTTCTATTGTTGAGCTAATGCGTGCATTTATTAAAACTGACCTCAGGTTTGCGAAAACAAACATATTTACTTGAGTGTCAGAGTATATTGACAGAGCTCGCCTTAATCTGTTCGCATATTTATCGGTGATTATAAGAATTTGTTTCCCAGCTACAAGCGCGAAAGAACTACAAGTTCCAAATGCTGTCTGCGCGTGCGCAGTAGGCCCGGACGTGTGGATCTGATAGCCATGAATGGGGTGGCGGAGACGCGGGTTTGTGGATTTTACCCAGATGATAACATTAATGTTTGCACCTCAGTGGAGTTACTTTTATGATAACTTTCAACACAAATACACTCGACTGCTTTAAATACTTCACGCGAGACAATCTCGTCCGGCATAACAGCGCTTTTGTGCTCATCGCGTGGCTCGAAGCAAATCACGTTACGTTTGTTTTCTCCTATTAAACATGCCGAGGAACAACAAGACCTCGCTGATCCAGAAGATAGCGAGCCAGGCTTATGTGACCTTCCAAAACTGCCCTACCTCTGCCATTGGGGATAAGACAGAGCGGCAGGCAGAGTTGGTAACCCTGCTATCCGACATCAGGGCTGCGGATCTGAGGGTTGCGCCACCGAAGAAAGTCTCCATATCCTCCTCACAGTCTTCAGCAGTTCCTCCAGTCACATACATGCACATCTGTGAGACTGATGTCTTCAGTATGGGAGTGTTTCTGCTGAAATCTGGGGCTTCCATCCCTCTGCATGACCATCCCGGGATGAATGGCATGCTGAAAGTCCTGTATGGCAAGGTCAATATAAGGTGTTATGACAAGTTGGATAAATCTGCTGGTGCCGAGAGTGACACTGAGAGGCGGTTTGATCCACCGCTGTTGCCTTTCCAGGGAGATGATGTGAGGAGAGCCGTGCTCAGGTCCTCCGGACAGTTTTCTCATCAGAGTGGCCCTTGCATCTTGACCCCTCTCAAAGACAACCTTCATGAGATTGATGCAGTGGACGGGCCGGCTGCGTTTCTTGATATACTGGCACCACCGTATGACCCTGACAACGGGAGAGATTGTCACTACTACAAAGTTTTACAAACTGCTGGCAAAAAGTCGGAGCAGAGCGGTGAAGACGAAACCTGGCTTTTAGAGATCCCCCAGCCGGAAGATTTCTGGTGTGGGGGTGAGCCGTACCCCGGTCCTGAAGTTTCGGTGTAGAGAGATGAACACTGGAATGGCCTGTGATCCGTCCTTATTCTAACTCAGATGTGTAAAAATTAGTTTTGTTTTGTTTGTTTTTTTCTTGGGACTTCAAATGTCACTACATGATTTTGAAATGTCCATTCCAAACCTATGTACATCAATTTGTGGCCTTGCTTGTGGATAATGAATGTATACATGCTTGAAAGGCATTTACTCTTGTATAAGTGCACACTATATATATATATATTAAATACATGTATTTAATTTATTTAAAAAAAGAAAACCATACAAACACTAATTCTTATGTACTGTTTATTTATTTTCCATCCATAAGCGCAAAAGAACTACAAGTTCCAAATGCTTCCTATATGTCTGCGCATGCGCAGTAGGCACGGACGTGTGGCTCTGATAGCCACGAATGGGGTAGTGGAGACGTGGGTTTGTGGATTTTACCCATATGCTAAAATAAATGTTTGCACCTTAATGGAATTATTTTTATCGTAGCTTTCAACACAAATACACTCGACCGTTTTAAATGCTTCACGCGAGACAATCTCGTCCGAGGTAACGGTTATTTTGTTGTCATCGCGCGGCTCGAAGCAAATCACGGTTCCGTTTGTTTTCTCCTGTTAAAAATGCCGAGGAACAACAAGACCTCGCTGATCCAGAAGATAGCGAGCCAGGCTTATGTGACCTTCCAAAACTGCCCTACCTCTGCCATTGGGGATAAGACAGAGCGGCAGGCAGAGTTGGTAACCCTGCTATCCGACATCAGGGCTGCGGATCTGAGGGTTGCGCCACCGAAGAAAGTCTCCATATCCTCCTCACAGTCTTCAGCAGTTCCTCCAGTCACATACATGCACATCTGTGAGACTGATGTCTTCAGTATGGGAGTGTTTCTGCTGAAATCTGGGGCTTCCATCCCTCTGCATGACCATCCCGGGATGAATGGCATGCTGAAAGTCCTGTATGGCAAGGTCAATATAAGGTGTTATGACAAGTTGGATAAATCTGCTGGTGCCGAGAGTGACACTGAGAGGCGGTTTGATCCACCGCTGTTGCCTTTCCAGGGAGATGATGTGAGGAAAGCCGTGCTCAGGTCCTCCGGACAGTTTTCTGATCAGAGTGGCCCTTGCATCTTGACCCCTCTCAAAGACAACCTTCATGAGATTGATGCAGTGGACGGGCCGGCTGCGTTTCTTGATATACTGGCACCACCGTATGACCCTGACAACGGGAGAGATTGTCACTACTACAAAGTTTTACAAACTGCTGGCAAAAAGTCGGAGCAGAGCGGTGAAGACGAAACCTGGCTTTTAGAGATCCCCCAGCCGGAAGATTTCTGGTGTGGGGGTGAGCCGTACCCCGGTCCTGAAGTTTCGGTGTAGAGAGATGAACACTGGAATGGCCTGTGATCCGTCCTTATTCTAACTCAGATGTGTAAAAATTAGTTTTGTTTTGTTTGTTTTTTTCTTGGGACTTCAAATGTCACTACATGATTTTGAAATGTCCATTCCAAACCTATGTACATCAATTTGTGGCCTTGCTTGTGGATAATGAATGTATACATGCTTGAAAGGCATTTACTCTTGTATAAGTGCACACTATATATATATATATTAAATACATGTATTTAATTTATTTAAAAAAAGAAAACCATACAAACACTAATTCTTATGTACTGTTTATTTTTACCTTTAAAGTACAATTAAAATTTTTCAATTTGGCTTAGTCTTGTATTTAAAAAATCATTTTGTGTGCATCATGTGCAAGGCTATTCTTTAATTATTCACTTACTTTTTTTTTTTGCTCATAGTCAGATCAGATGCATTTTTTTATTATACTTTTTATTAAGTATTTATAAATATGTTCAAAAACTGTAAGTATACATTTTATTATAATATATTCAACATATATGAATATGTTAGAATATAAGTTTATAAAAACATACTAATACAAGACATTAATAAGGTAGGTTAATTTATAAGTGTTTAAACACTGCTTTTGAGCATTTGCTATTGATTTTATATAATGATGTACTTTAATGATTTATCCTTCGTAGCTGTTGTTATCCACTGCATATGAGAAACATTAAGTGAGGAGAGGACTGTGGGAAGCTAAAGATTCTTATCTTCTCATCTTTAAAGTGTGTATAATTTGCATTTCTTATTTTTGTTATCACTAACAATAACGATTCTGCTGATTTATAATAGGCTGTGTCGCATACTGGAGTGAAATCTGTTGGAAAGTCAGACTTTCACTGTGAATGTTTACAGACTTCTTTATGTCTAATGTGGCGTCATGTTTCCCACACATTGGTAAATATATGTCTGTAACAATAATGTAGGAGGCAGCCTAAAAGTAATAACATAATTTAATCAAATTAATTCTTAGATAATTTTTTTAGACACTGTGCAGGTTAGACGTCCTGTATCCCTACAGATTTTTGTTTATAGACCTGGATATGATCTGAACAGAAATTACTTAAATCCTCTGTTAAGCTCAGTTTATCTTCAGTGCAGATTTTTGTCTGTAAAGTTAAATTGATTATATATATATATATATATATATATATATATATATACATACATATATATATATCTCAGTTAGCACATTTTTAGATCTATAATTAGTCTGAAAGAGCACGTAAACAATAGATAATTCTAAGTTAACATCCATCTCTCAATCTTAGAATAGAGAGCATATGTGCTGTTTTTAGATTGCCATGAATACAATATTAGTAAAGTAGTAAAATTATTAGTAATTTCATTACTTTGCTCTCATTAATTCTTTTAATTATTAACTGTTGTTTATTTAGTTTTTAAGCCACTTATCAAACATTTTCAGTTCCAATCCAAAAATGTATGTGCCAAATTTATGTATTGCTTGATGTAAATATGGGGTTGTCCCGCTCTGAATGCGGGGGTTGGTATATACCTTCAACCACACAAAACCAAAGATTCATATCATACAGTGTCACACAATTATTTGTCATTTTTTCGGTGTTGTTTCTCAATTTTCACACCATAGACACTGTAAAGAGTGGTCATAACAGTGTCAAATCAGTGAATTTATGATCACAAAGTGAGTCATTTTTGTTCACCTGCAAGTTTTAATAATTGTTCCCTTTACACTTACCCTTCTTTGATTATTCATGATTTTCCCCCCAAAACGTTTTGCCCTATATTGGACATTACAGACTGTGAATATTCGCACCCTTTGTGCATTTGTAAACAACACAGTGTGTGGGTGCTGGCCCTTAAGAGACCAAGAGTCAGAGCTCAGTGATGCCCAAACGGGAATGTCCCTGTAAGTCTACTTCACTTTTTCCTTTTACACCTTCTTTTTTATAATGAAAATCAGTTAAACAACAGAAGTTCACAATCCATGTGTTGTTTATTATTTTCATGTTGACAAAGTAGGACATTATTGACCTGCGTTAGTCACTTCATAACAAATACATTTATATCAATCAGAACAAACCACAGAACAAACGTCAAGTCGCTATGAGTTCAGCTATATATACACAATCCTTGTTTTAAGCACAAATGCAACACTTTTGACACGAAACGGTTTGTACAAAAATATATCTTCAAAAACTTTCATATTAAAGGATCATGTACAATTGAATTCAAGCCCCCGGGTGTATATGTACAAGATGAACGGACGAAAGGCACGACGATGGGAGAAAATAGTGACACATTTGAAAGTTTAGTCTGTTTAAATTAACTTTGTTAAACGTATCAACTCCACTTTCCACCTTTTATCTAAGACCCAAGTCTCCCACGTGCTATCTAAGGTTATTTTTAATTAAATTAATCGGCCTAGAATATTCAAACAAAGTGCGTTTGGTCAGTCAGCATGCGACTGAGGCAAAAAGAAAACGAACATATCGCACCACCTTTCAAAGTGCGCGCCGTATTGTGTCCATATACCATTTGGCACTGTGGTTTGATTTAACTTTTTATCAGCCCACCCGGTTTTAATATATCACGAATGGTGCATTATTATTGTCATCATATTGCCTACATAGTGTTGGATATTGCACGGTCCAGCTGAAAGTCTACTGGCTTGAACTGGACGAGCAAATGCCCGTGGCGACGCCGCGCTCCGAGCTGGACACTCCGGAGGACGACGAGGATGATTTCCTCTCCTTCTGTCGCAGGTGGATTTTGGTGTGTCTCTTTCTTTCGTCGCTCCGCGCGAACTTTCTCCCGCAAAAGTCGCAGGCGAACGGCTTCTCGCCGGTGTGCGTGCGGATGTGGGTCGTCAGGTGGTCGCTGCGACTAAAGTTCCTCATGCATATCCGACACTGGAAGGGTTTGTGGCCGGTGTGGATGCGGATGTGTCTGGTGAGCTCGTCGGACCGGGAGAAGCGCCTGTCGCAGCCCTCCGCCGGGCAGGGGTAGGGCCGCTCGTGCACGGGGGTCTTGCTGGGTCTGTTGGGGTATTTCCTCGGGCGCAGGATGGGCCTGAGGGGTAAGTTCTGCGGGCTGTAGGCTGTGGGTAGCCGGGGTCCGTCAGGAATCGGTCCCCCCAGCGTGAAGTTCCTGATAGTGTTCAGGGGGGTCAACGGAGGCGGGACTCTGAACGAGTCCAGCGGGCACGAGAACGGTTTGCGGTCGGGCATCGACTGCATGTCCCTCTGGCACGGCGGCTGGAAAAAGCCGGCGTAGTCCGGGATGATGGGGAACAGCCCGGAGTCCGTGCTTGGCTTTGGGGAGGAGTAGGATGGCGGAGGATAGGAGATCGGGCAGGTGGAGGTGGAGAAGAACGCGGATGGGTCTTGGTACACCTCCCCGCATCCAGAGTAGGGCGGTGGGGGCGAGTAGATGTGCTCCATGTCCGCATGGTTCTGCGCCATGGTGCAGCTGAGGGTGCTGGGGAAGTGGCTGGGGGAGACTGAGGAGGCAGGTGACGAGGATGCTGAGGATGGCTGGGTCATGCCCAGGATCCCCGCGCTCACGATGTTGATCACGCCCTCAGGGTTCCAGTTTCCTGGGTACTGGGAGTCGATGGAAAACTTTCCCATATAGGTGAAAGTTTGGTTGCGAGGGCCAGCTGGTTGCGCGAAGCTGCTGGAATAGGTCAAGTCGAGGGAGCGCTTCTCCGTGCTCATATCCCCGCAAATCAAGCCATCTGCAAAAATACACATAAAAGCAAGGTTTAGGTACACATGAAAGAAGGCTGTCTTATGGATCATGCAACTATTGGATGCAGCGCGCGTAGCTTTTACGCAAACTGGCCACTGTAAAAACATCGGTAGTTATAACATCAACACTAGGCAACTTCTTTTCTGAAGTAGTCAAAGAACTTTGGTTTCACTTTAAATGCGTTTACAGTTCTAGCAGGTTTGGTTTTTCTGCAAAGTAGCCACACTTTTTCATTCCCACTGAAAACCCTCAGCTGCGAGCGATGTATAAACACAGAGCACGTGAGGATGGAAGCGCGCAGCATTCTTACCTCCCGAGTTTATCTGCTCGTAATGTCCTCCTAAATCACCGTTTGGAAATATAGTCACAGAGGCTGGCAGTGATGTGGCAATCTCGTCCACTGAGTAGATGCTTTCGGAAAGAGGGTGCACGAAGCCACCAAGAGTTACAGGGGCTTTCTCCAAAGTTTTAGCTGTCATCGTGAAGTCCTAAGAAGCACTCGTTCAGATGTTCACAAAATGTTTTGTGCCAGTGCGAACGCTCGCTCAAAACGTACGTTACATGTGGATAGCTGTCAGTGAGTTTAGCGTTCACTATGATGCCATCTGACGGCTCTGTGTTGTTGAATGACAGATCCTTGTGGAGCTGCTAGTGGTAGTATGTATTTATGGCGAGCCTATCAATGTGCCGTTACGTCACTGACCATTTAAGGACTGGATGGCAAAAGAGAAGTAGCGCTGCGCGATCTGATTGGTTACAGACCTTGTGACGCGTCGAGGTAACACTTGTCAATGGAGAATCCTTTCTGTACAGCCGCTCATGCATAAAAACCAATGTGCTGGGAGGAAAAAAGAGCAACGTTATATTGCTTGTTATATGAAAATATTTTTAGATAACAATAACAAAAAAATAAAGGCACGCTTTTGTTAAAATATATTAAAGCCAAAGAGGAGGGGAAAACTAACGTTTTGATGCAACGCATCATTCTCAATCAGGAATTCCGGTTCATTATCACGCCATAAATGGTTTTATCCGGTAAACATCTACACCCCTTCGTCCATTTATGGAGCATATTCCGGAAATTGAGTATAGGAAACTCGCGAGTGTTGCCGAGCAAAGAGACGCGCCTCAACCAGCATCAGAAAACCACAATCAAATGAGAGACACAATCACGGAATTTCTACCTTTGCTTCAATGGCACAGTCGGAAAGTGCGCTACCTCTATTTGAATAGACCCCGTGTTTTTGGAAAGAGGGAAACCTTTTGAGTAACTGCATTCTATAATTAGAATGTTGCTGGAAAGTAGATTTATTTATTTGCGATTCTAAAAGTTTAAACCAAAAATCATTTTATTTTATTTATTTTTGTTTTGTTATCTTCCGACGGTTTGCTGTGTTAATAATGCATTAATGGTGCGGAAGATAAAAAAAAAAAAAAAAAAACATCATATAGCCGCACGTGAATTTCTGGCTCAGCAAAATTTGTTCACCGCTATTATTTTGTTTGTCGTGTTATAGCC